GGGGTGGCTCCGGGGCTCGGCCCGGTCGCTGGGGAGCGGTGGGGCTGCCGCGGGAGGCTCCCCCTCGGGGAGGTTTGTACTGTTGCTCTGACTTCCACAACTAGCCTTCCTTGGGGGGGCTAACTTTTTTAATTACTAAATTATTATTTTTAGGGGTGCCCTAAAGAGAGGAGGTGCTCTCCCCCTAAGAGAGGAGGTCCTGGTGCTTGGTGTTTTCCTCAACCCCAAACTGTTCATAACTTTGTAGTAGTAAGTGGGGGGAGCTCTCTCACCCCCACACTCTAGAGCTGACAAAATCTCACCTTAGCCTCTTTTTTGAAGCATTCTTCCCCAGTGACATCTGGCAGACCTTTCATCTGCCTTCCCAAAAACACAAAGAACAACCCTTGTTGTGCCTCCCCTTCCTCTGTGCCCAGGTGTGCACCTGGTGATACCAGCGGCCGCTGTGCTGGCTGTGGGCTCGGCCTCGTGTTAGTTGTGTGGCCAGCCCAGCTCCCTCTGAGGGGCCGTGTGGCCCCTGGTCACCTCCTGTAACCTCTTGCTCCCCCTTGGCATGCCCAGAGAGGAGTCAATGCTGTCTATGGGGCTGTGTTGGGTGGGGGACGCACACATCTGCATGTGGCTTCTTCCTTTGGGAAGCACCAGAGTGGGATTTTGTGTAGGGATGGCCAAATGTAGGGTCCTGGGAGGGGTGGAGTGAGAAGATGGCGGAGGTGATGGCCAAGTTTCTTGACCTCAGTGCTATCCTGCTCTCCATCCTCTTTCCGATGTGATGCTCTGGTGGTGTGCGCTGCCCCATGGCACGAGAGGGGCTTCCCTCTGCACAGCGGAACGAGCGGTGGCCAGGGAGATGACCTGCTCCACAGCTGCAGAGGACCCGATGGCACCTTGTCAAAGGGCCTAATGGTTCCTCCGTGCTCTGCTCTTCGGATGTTCTGGAGCCACACGTGGTGCGAATACTAAATACCAGTGCTTATCGGTGCACTAATGAGGATCTGCAATTTCTTTTCTTTCCTGATTATCAAAAAGGGTATTTATTTTGCTTATATCGTAGAGGTGTGTCAGATACACACTGTTTCTTTGAAATTTGTTTTAGACCCTTCCATCATTTTCTTTTTCCCCAACTTGATGCAGACAGTTAGTCATGTTGGTGTCCTGACTGAAATAATACCTGCATTTGTTTTTCTAGCAACTTCATAGTGCACATTTCAAATGCAAAAATATCACACTCTTTTGTGAGCTGAAATGATATAAATTGCTACACAATCATTTACAAGACGAAAAATATAGTTGAATGATTCCTCAATCTGAACATATGGAGGAGGAACTGATGGCTTGTCCAAAGAATACTTGCCAAAAGTCATACTAAAGTAAGGATAACTTGAGTTGTTTGGTATTTATTGCTAGTTTTCCATAGCCCCTAATCCCTAAGGTAAACTTGATGAGTAGGGTATGGATCATGTTATTCACTCTCTTGTGCGGACTCATTGTTGAGGTACAGTGAAGCGCACATCTGTTGTAGAATAGGGGGCAAAACAGATGGGATTCTGAAAATAGGCTTTCTGTGGAGTTGGAAAATAGGTGGAAGAAGGTGTGATCAGTGTACAAAGTCATTTCCAAATTAAGTTATAAGAAAAATGCTTATTTGTTGTATGCTTCCATAAGTTCGTATAGAGGACAATATTACTGCCTACATTTATTGGGCTTTTTATTTAGCTTTTTACTTTGCTTACTGTAGTAAGCATTTATTTATTTCCTACTAGCAGGATTACTCTTACATTGTCTTCTAGAAAAGTGATTGAACTGTGACTGTGAAAGCTTTGATTAAAGAATACAAATAAACCAGATTCTTGAGTTGTGGTCATCTGTAAAACCCAATTGAAGTTAATGAAGGTCTAATGGAGGTCTCTTGGTTTATATTGACAAAATTATTGCTTGTACCTTAGGACTAAATTTTTAGAGTGTATGAATAAGCTGCGTTAGCACAAAAGTTGAGGTGAATTAACTTTTGCAGTCTCTTTTTTTTTTTTTTTTTTTCCCCCCTTCTCTTTTGCCTTGGTTCTTCAATTTGACCCAAAGTTCAGAGGTGAAAACAACTGTTCAGACAACAGTAAATAGACAAGCTCTGTATCACTTGTGTTTAAAAAGTAATGCCTTGTTTATGAAAAGTCACTAAGTTTAGTAGGGATTTCTCCCTTTCAGAAGTTACCGTGTATGTAACTGTATGTGTCTACACTATGTCTTTATGCTGTACTTGATTCATGTGCTTATTTTGTAGATGATGGCCATCTGTCTTGGTTTCTCTTGTTTCTTCTAAACACTTTGTCATAGGAGTACTATTATTTTTTATTTAATAGCTGAGTTTGGCTCTTTCTAGTTATAAAAGTTAGGTCTCCAAAGGCAGGAGGAAATGGGCACTGGCCTTTAGAATTCAACAGTGGTTTGTCCTGAAATTCTGTGGATATATCATGATTAACCATGCACAAGACTCTCCATTTCATAACATCAGGCTGAAACTGTAGTTGGGTGTCAGTCTGTTGCTTGGGGTTGTTGGTGTGTGTGTTTTTTTTTTTTTTTTTAAACTTTCAAGGGTCTTAGGTGAACAATAAAAACTGTATGTATCTTGAGATGTATTCTGGCACATACTAAAATGTAAACAAATCAAAAGAATCCTGGTGTTAACTAATATAATATGCAGATAAACTATTTGTACCCTAGCAGGACTCTTCTGCAGCTGTGCCTGTGAAATAATAAAGAATTGTTCTTTCTGATCATAGAAGCAAACTGATATTTCAGTGGAAATTGCTAGGTTTAAATTCTTCTGTTTATGTATGAGGTAATGTACTTGCTGAAAACAATTACCTAAGCCACACTTTAAGTAGCAAAGGGAAATTTTTAAGACAAATATTTATTTAGTTAATATTATAAATGTGTAAAGGAAGTAATTCATTTGCTGTATGATCTCAGATAATCTCTAATATGTAAATCATCATATAAACTTTCATAATGTTTTTTTTATTGCTTACTGATAGTAAAAACTTGCTGAAATACCACTAGCATTTCTGTTGGCTTTAATAGAACATACAGAAGGCTTTCTATATTGTAAAACAACTGAAATCAGTAAGAACATCCAAACAAGTCTAACATGCATATTTCTATCTGGGACAAAGTACAATAAGACATCTGATCTCGCATATACAGTCAAGTTGCCTGTATTGTGTACTTTGATCTTCCATTCACTTAAATTCCTTCTCTAATCTCATCAATTGTGTAAACTCTCCATGAAATATCACCACACAACAAGATATCTAGATAAGGCTTACTTTTGGATGTTCCAGGAATAGTATTATGTGAGCATACTGAATGGAAAGTAGCTTCCACCAATAGTAATAATACCAATTAAACCTTGTTCACTCTTAAAACTGTTCCATAAGGTTGTATGGAAACATTAATGCCTAAAACTATCTAGGATCCTTTTAAGTTCTTATATTTGGTGTTTGGCTAGTCAATGTTGCCTTTAAGGTTTTATATCTGTTAAGAGGAGCTAGCGTAGGTGTTCTGTGTTTTAGACTAAAACTTGTTCAAGCAGGATACTGGTGGTGTGGTTTTAAGGATCCTTAAGCTGGTTTATATGGTTCTGCTTTCCTGTATATGATTACCCATGCCATTAACTCTATTAAGTAACAGTAATACAGTGCAGCTTTTTAAGTTTGAAATGTGCTTAGAGTCCTGGTTATGTAATTGCTAAATGTATGGTGTATATAGAGAGCACCTTGAATGTAACTTAGTTATCAATAGGAAAAAAAAAAGTGGAAACAATCTTATAATAAAATATAACTTGAATGCTTATAGAAATTGCTTTGCAGTATTAAGTTGTTCTTGCATATTTGGAGTACTTTTGTGGAGAAGTAGTTAAAAAGGAGATGCAAAAAATGAAAGCTGGGGACTTAGGCCTTATATATGGCAATTATATAACTGCCAAGCTATAATGTCATTGAAATATTTTAGCTTAGACTTATTAATACTCTTAATTTCTTTCCCTTCTGAAGACATGGCTCTTAAAATGGTATATTAATAGATGCATCTTCAGTGTGCTTGGAAAAGACTTTTAAAATATTTTTCTTTTATATATGAAACTGTGTGTATTGGTAGCCCTGCTTCGCGCAGGGGTTTGAACTAAGTGACTTCCTGAGGTCCTTCCAACCTAAGCTACCTAGAAATCTAAAATTATGTGAGTGCTAGGTCCTAAGTGTGTTCTCCATGAGAAT